GTATGGTACTAACTTTAACTTTACACAACAGTTGGGTTTACAATCTTGTATGTAATGTCGTACGTATAAGCAGTATGGTACTAACTTTAACTTTACACAACAGTTGGGTTTACAATCTTGTATGTAATGTCGTACATATAAGCAGTATGGTACTAACTTTAACTTTACACTACAGTTGGTTTTACAATCTTGTATGTAATGTCTTACATATAAACAGTATGGTACTAACTTTATACAACAGTTGGGTTTACAATCTTGTATGTAATGTCGTACGTATAAGCAGTATGGTACTAACTTTAACTTTACACTACAGTTGGTTTTACAATCTTGTATAGATGAGAAATGCTTGGCAATTGACACTGCATGGGAATAAAATACTGAATTAGAAAGAACAGAATGGGATTCTACATGAATCTACTTACACTCTCATATGCTACTGTGTTGTCTTTCCTTGTAGAGTCTTTATTTTAGATTTTACTTTAGTTCATTTCTGAGAAATAATTTTAATAAAATATGGAGAGAGGTCATTTGCTTCTGTGTCCTAAAAGTTTCAGCTAACCCCACTGATAATATCAGGTGTCCTAAAAGTTTCAGCTAACTTCACTGATAATATCAGGTGTCCTAAAAGTTTCAGCTAACCCCACTGATAATATCAGGTGTCCTAAAAGTTTCAGCTAATTTCACTGATAATATCACGTGTCCTAAAAGTTTCAGCTAACCCCACTGATAATATCAGGTGTCCTAAAAGTTTCAGCTAACCCCACTGGTAATATCAGGTGTCCTAAAAGTTTCAGCTAACTCCACTGATAATATCTAGTGTCCTAAAAGTTTCAGCTAACCCCACTGATAATATCAGGTGTCCTAAAAGTTTCAGCTAACCCCACTGATAATATCAGGTGTCCTAAAAGTTTCAGCTAACCCCACTGATAATATCAGGTGCCCTAAAATTTTCAGCTAACCCCACTGATAAACAGGCAGATGCTTACGTATGGCAGATTTAGTTTCACAATTAATTTCTATTTTCATTTCATTGTGCAAAGTTCTGTTTGGTACAGATTAGTGGAGTGAATACACACACATGTAGGCTGCAGGACAGCAAAAGCTAGAGATACTTAAAAACTGACAGGAGTCTGGAACACACACATTGTTCTTCTATTAAAGATTTAATGTTACTCTACATCAGATTTGGATTAAATTTATGTATTAATCTTACAGTAGAAGTCTAATACTATATAAATGTTTTCCTGAGAACGATACTAAATGTGTTTTCTCTTACTATCAGATGATACAAAAACACTGCTTAAAAACATAAGTTCAAAAAGCACTTAGTGTCTAAAATTTAGAAAAAGGAAAAGTGATTGTCTTTTTTTTGCTAAACTCCTGGTGTCTTGGTTTCAATTCAGGCATTTCAAACAGTGAAAGATAATTAGGCATTCCTTTCTTAGAATATTTAAATAAGCATTTCGTATCTGTCTTAAAATGACCTGAAAATGTCCTTTTTTTAAATAGCTGAAAAATGAAGAAGAAATCAAGTCCAGATTGATGGAGGCTGACAGCCGACTGCAAATGGGTATGAAAGAACTGTGTATTAGAAAGTATCTTGTGAGAAGTTATTCTTTAAGAAATTTCTAAAGTCTAAAACAGACAAGTGAAGAGGGCCTTAGTTTTTTTGTTTTTTTTTTCATTTCTGTGAATCTTAGGAAGTAGGAGGACTGAAGGATTAGTAGGGAATTGCAGAAGTTGAAAATTTTAATATTTACACCCCAGTAAAGTTACTTTGAACGTTCTGACACACAGTATATATGTGTTCCTTACCTTTGGCCTGTCTCTTTCATTAAAGTTCAATAAAATGGTTCTGAAAAACTTTTCAACATTCTGTTGAATTATATATCACTTAGTTATTATTTATCAAAAATATATATTTACACTAAAACAAATAGTTTGATCTTTTTCATAACTTTGCTTTTTTGACTAACATAGTGTTGATTTCTGTTTGGACATTTAATCAGTCATTTTAAAAACTTTTTGGTACAAATTACACCATGAATTTAATTACTAATATTTTCAAGTTAAGAAATATATTTTCTAGATAGTTAATAAGAGTTAGTGTAATATTGATTCTCCCCACTTTTTAAAAGTACATTGTTTTAATAACTTTCAATGAGCACTGCCAATTAATATATTTAGAGTTTGTGATATTTTAAACATCTTTTTCTATATGTACTAAAACAAAAAATAATTATTATCGAAGAAGTTGTTATATCATAAAATATACATTTGTAGAAAGTTAACTTTTATTAGAACAGAATTTTTTTTTTATGCCAGCTCTGCACTACCGAATACCCTACCCACGCCCAGTCAACTTACCTCCTCAGGCCTTGGTCAGTCCACTTGGCAAGAAGCTAAAAGAACAGAGTAGACTACGGAAACGATCGAGGCCCGTATACATAAAATCTTTAGATTCTGAGACTTAAACGTATTTGTACGGCAGAACATCTTTCTAACAAATAAAAGCATGATAACAGTGAACCTTATGTTACTTTTCAGTCGATAGATAATAATTATAGCATTATGAATATTAGTGCTGTAAAGTGTAGTGGAGTGTCAAAACAAAGCTTAGCAATTTTCCAATTTTTTGAAATAAAAATAATAATAATATTTAGTTCACAGTAGTAATTGCATCGTATAGTTTTGTATGTATTAAAAATAAACAAATGTTGTAAACTTTTTTTGGGGGTGTAAGACTGATATAAGAAAGGAAAATATGGTAATTTTTCCTGGATCATCAGTGCTGGCACAGTGTTTCATTACTTGCTTGGTTTTGATAAAGCTGCTACGTAGGCTGTAAGTTACATTTTTACATGTTTGAAGCAAAATGTTCCATAACAGTAAGTAAACCTTAGGTCCACGTTACTTAAATCAACACAAGCTAGCGATTGTTGAAACTATTAGAGTAGTTTATACACCATAAGACAATAAACAATCTTTATAATACTATCAGACTCATAGTTAGGGTTTTTACAACGTGGTTTATTAGTACTAGTAACCTACACAGTGTTCACGCTCTAGTCTTAACAATCATTCTTATATTTAACATGCTTGTTTTGTTACAATTGCTTTAGTCATATTTTGATTGTAGTTGTGTGTATACTATGCCATGTTTAAACCAGTGTAAAATGAAGAGTTTAATAAGTAGAAATAACTTTTTTTTTATATCAGGGTTAAGCCTTGTTGGCTAAGTTAAAGCTTACAGAATCAACAATTTAATTATATTGTAGATAAACATATATATAGCCCCTAGTCCACCAGTATGTCTGTTGTATTGCAGCCAGCCTGCTCAGCCCTGGTATTAGGGAAAAGGTCTCATTGGCACTGGATATGGAAGATGTAGCATGATTGACATGTTAAATTCTTCATTGGTTTCCATATAACTATGCCTAACATTAGATTTAATACAAAGTAATGAATATAGGATCTAAGTAACTAAACAACTAAAGCAAAATCAGTCTGAGAAAATTTATCATAAAAATAGGTGCTATGAAATTCAATCTGGAAGCAATTTTGCATGAAATATAGCTTAAACAATTGCACAGCTGTTCACCCGAAATCCACAAACATCCAATGAAGAGTCAACAAATCATCATTAGATGTAAACATGGATGTTTTTTTATAGTAAAGTACTGTACTACCTACACACAGAGTAGGTATTCACTAGCACTTAATAGATGTACACGAGTTTAGTTTAATAAAAACTACCATGAATCAAACTGTACCATGTTAAAAATTTAGCATATTTTAAATTTACCATTTTGTGTTATTTTATGACTTTTTTTTTTTTAATAGAGCCTTTTGTATGTGACATAGTCTTTAGTACCATTGTAGTGGTTTTATTCCGTGACACAACTGATTTTTTGTAGTAGTATCAAAGTTGTATCTTATTTTGTGATATTAATAACATAGTTTATCATAGACCTCTAGTGGGAAAAATAGACACCGTGATCAGGAATCCTAATATAGTATCATTTGAAGTCTCTTTTTATCATCAGAACTTTTTTATTGCAATTATTATTATTAAAAAACATCAACGGTTTTACAAGAAGGAAGTTTCAGATTACTTTCAATGCAGGCACTGTGTGTATATATACAATCATGATCATGATTTGTTGTCAAAATAAAAAATCAGAGTTGTTAGGTTTTAGAGGTACATTTCTCAAGTCCTATTTGTGTGTCTGTAACACCCTCTTCTCATGGTTTAGTGGTAAGCTTGTGGGCTTGTAAGGCTGAAAGATAGGGATTCAACCCTGTAATGGGCACAGCACACAGTCCATTGTACAGCTTTACTTAAACCTGTTAACCTTCAGAAAACTTTACTACATACACTGTGAGGCAAAGTCTTGGAAAAGTAAGTATCCGTACTTCTTTTAGAAAAAATGCCCATGTTAGTGTACAGTAATCGATAGTGGCACTATGCATGTTGCTGTTGAACATGAAAAAAATTAACACTTGCCCAACTAACCATGTTTTCGACACTTATTATCTGCTTTTGTTGGTATCAGCACTACAAACTATGGATTTGGGACTGTGCAACAGCTACAAGATGAGATGAGCACACATATAGGGGTAAAATAAATTTTGTGTACAACTGTTAATATAGGACATTTCACATTTGTAAATATTTAGCATTCTATAGATGCTTTCGTAATTGAACTCATTGCTCAAGTTATGTGTCTACAGTAATTAAATTATCTGAGAGTTTAATAACGGTATGTCACTTTTAAAACTTTTATTGTGCTAGTCAACACATGTTCATGTAAGTGCTGGGAACAGTAAATAATTAAAATTAATTACATAAAGAGTTACAATATAATTGTAATCACACATTTTACCTTACCGTAGTCATAATTCATTTTCATCATGTCATGTCATGCACTATTTCATGTATAAGAAGTTATCCATTGTACTTGTTTCATTCCATACCTGATAAAAGGATCCAACACTGTCATTCTTACATCACATGCCATGTTACATTAGTTATATCATAAAATGATCATTATAATATGTGAATATTACTAGTAGATACACGTATGTGTGCTTTACAGTGTAAGTTCATGTGTACTTTTGTTTTCTGCAGTAAAATTCATAAAACATAAATATGACTTAGACATTTTAACAATATAACGAATGTTCACTTAACATATGTGACAGAAACAATGGGAACATTGTATAAGTATCATGAATATTTATGGTAATTGAAACAATTATCATAATAGGTATAGTTTTTTTGTTGTTGTTGTTTTTCAAATAAAATCAACTTTCAAATATCATTTCAAGATTTTGCACAGATGAAAAAGGATTATAAACGTAGAGGCACTGTTTTATTATTAAAAAAAACAGCCATGCATAATCAGTAATAAACTTAAATACGGACAAAAATAAAAGTATAATAGATAAACTTAATCATGACAACAATGCTAAGAGCTTGTATAAATTTTTGATAAAGATAATCACATCATAATTAAGATAATTACTGTTCTGTTACAGTGGGAAATGTGCTAGTCTTATCATTCGTTTTATATAAACTAGTTTCATGACAGTTTTTCTGTCCCCAGCAAGGACATTATTTGGAACTGGTTCCTGTGTTTCTAAGAAAGTTGGTATGTTGATTTATATATCATATGGTCCAAAAAGATCCTGAACGTTGACACTTTTGTCAACCGTTGGCTCCAAACGAGATACAAGACTGTTTCTTTCAAACTGAGCAAGGTCACTTACAACACTAAAATCCAGAGTCTGATTCCTTGCGTTGGACAAAGTGCAGATAGCACATTATGTAGTTTCACGCTAAAACAACAAGAAGCCCCCCCAGTGGCACAACGGTATGTCTGCGGACTTGCAACACTAGAAACCGAGCACAGATAGCCCATTGCATAGCTTTGTGCTTAACTACAAACAAACAACACAAAAAAAATGGTGAGTTTTACTTCGGATACTTTTCCCTTCAAAGACTATAAGAATATATATATATATATATACATACGTTTACAGATAATAAATAATAAAGCATGCAAGTTGGCAATAGTAAAGTGGTGTCCTCCAGCGGTAAGTTTATGGGCTATTTGATAATAATTTCAAAATAAGTTAGCATAAGAAATTAATATGCCATACTAACCTTATTGGAACTGATCTTAAGTAAGCAATGCAACTAAAATGCCCCCATGGATCAGCAGTAAATCTACGGGCTCACACTGCTAAAAACCGGGTTTCGATACTCGTGAAGGGCACAACACGGATAACCCATTGTGTAACATTTTTGCTTACAAAAACAAAGGTTTTTATTCAGAGCCAACTATTACTAATTTACACCAATAGATGGCCTTAACGCATAAATATGTTATATTGCAATTAGTTGATGATCCAGTGCAAAGGCGGAGTAATTAATAAAATTATTTTAACACAGAAAACAAAAAACATTAATTTTTAGCTCTGTTTATCTGCGCCAACTTCAAAATAAAATTTCTGGATAAATCATTCACATAACCAAAAAAAGAATTAATTTCTGGCAAAAAAAATACGTCAAGAATCTACTAATTCCGTGCACTATTTAGAGGCAAGAATACATTGTGTATAATAATAGGAGTTGGTGTATCTTTTATATACAATGCATTGTATTAATTTGTTCACTTTTCTTGAGTAATATATTAGAAAAACCTTACTAATTCATTAGAGTATAAAGTTTACACCAATTCGTTTGTTTTTGACAGAAGTGCTTACCTTTACTAATAACTATATATTGAAAAATTAAACTCCATTCTCAATTAATATCGATTAGTCAATCTTTGGAATTCCATTTTATGGAATAATGTTTTCTCTCAAATCTCGGATGTTTTTCTTATACAAATTCATAATATTTAGTCCCCCGCTGGGGCAGCGGTAAGTCTACGGATTTACAGCTATGTGGCTTTGCTATAAGAAAAGAACATATACACACACGTAATATTTATTGATATCGATCACGTATAAAACTTTAAAAAAAGATGGACTCGGTCCATCATCATTTTGTCATTACGAAACAGTTTGGCTGTTTTGAAGCCTCACTGATGAGTAAGTGCCCTTTGTCATTTATTTTTTACAACCTGAAATGCTCTGGAAGGCTTATACTGTTATCGTGCAGTAACAAACCGCCACGTAACTCGACTTGAGAACAGTTTAATGACAAAACCTTGTCGAAACGTTGTACATTTGCTGTTATGTTAAATTTATATTAAAGTTTTTCTTCATTACCCATTCAAGCCGTCTCCAACCATTATTAGTTTAATGTATTGTTTAAATATTTACCTTGAATATTTATGGAAACATACTAACGCTAAATAACTTTATTTATTTTACTTTAAAGCTTTGATGGGGGAAAAAAGAGTATACAGTATAATAGCAACATTGAACTGTTTATCTATGCTTCACCATATTAATTTAGATTACTATATGTTGAAGTACTCGAAACCCCATAGATATTATGTACACTTCACCATTATAAGAGGCTTAATGGTATTTCTTTGGTTTGCTGACTCAAGCTGTGCTGATGAGGCTTGAATGGGCGAAACTGCAGAGGGTATGGCCAATCAAATAATGCTTTAGGCCTCTGCGTCACAGATCCTCTTTTCAATTTCACTTCTCGAGAAATGAAAATATGTTTTTAACATATATATACAGTTAATTGTTGAGTACTACAGAG